GCGCCCCAGCCGCTGCTTTGGGTGCAGTTTCTGAGCACCTAGAGCAGGCTGCCACCAGTTGGGGTTTGAATGTCTCCAAGGCTGGAGACTCCCCCAGCCTCTTGTTCTGGTCTTTGACGACCTTTATGGGAAAAAAAGCTTTTACTTTTGTTTAAATGAAATTTCTTGTATCTCAGTTTGCACCCACATGCATAAAGATTTACGTAGCCTCAGTGGCAGCCTGCAGCAAGCACTTCCACTCCGGACCAGATCTTTATTAGCAGGGATAATCTGCCAGGAAGCCTGGTAATTACTCAGCCTGGAGCTGCCTGGCACTGGACTCGCCTCACCCTGCTGCCGGGGAGCAGACAGGGTAGAGGGGCAAAGCCAGGGCTGACATCTCCGTGCCCCAGCTCCCTCCTCCCAGACAGTGCCAGGAAGCCCCGCAGGTCTCACGCTGACACCGGAACAGTGGTGGCACATCCCCATGCCTCACCAGTAACCCCGTCTCTTGGCCAGGCGGGTGCCAGGTGCCGGGGGAGCCAGCCGCGTGTCCAGGGCTGTCCTGGGACACCGTGCCTATCTTCACCGAGCAAGTGCTGTTTCTTGGAGGCTCATGTCTGGCTGGTGGTAGCAGATGGCAATTCTGCTGGTAATACTTCGAAAGCATCTACTCGGGCAGGGAGAGGCTCACAAATTCATTATCCTGGGCAAACCAGACAGAGATTTAAGCTGCAAAGAAGATAAGAAGATTGTTTTACCAATCCCATCTTTGCTGTCTTCCTGGTGGCCTGTGCATTTCCCCGGAGAGGGATCTCACATGAAAGAAGGAGGCTGCTTTTCTGGGCGTTCAGGGTATGATCCCCACGTGCCCGTCTGCAGCCCAGCAGGCAGGGAATGCAAAACCTTGCTCTGGCTCGGTAGTTGCAGTCAGGATATGCTCAAACAGCAAGGTTAGAGCCCGCAGGCTGGGCTCATCTCACACTCAGTGGTACCACCATGGTCTGCAGCTGAAAGACCCTACATCCCTACAGCCGACAACCCTTGCAAGAGCAGAACAACCCCCCAGACACCCTCTCTCTGGGCAGAAGAGATCGAATTAATGCAAGGGGCTGCTTTGTGTTGCATGGCGGGAACTGCAGGTTGCCGCAAGGCTTTGCACCCCCACTGCACCTTCTGGATCCCACCCTGAAGGACCGACCATCCCCACGGAGAAAGGAAGTCCAGGGCCTTGCCCACGCTTTTGGAAGAGGTCAGCGTAGGAGTGCAGATCTCCAGGACTAGCTGCTGCCTCTGCTCCATGCCAGCAGACCCATTCTAGTGCACTCAAGTGTTAGAAACTGGCGCTGAATGAGGTCTTCCCTCTAATGACAGCGTTTGAGGTCAAAACTGGTGTGTGCCGATCATGCTGCTCGCTAGCCCCGTCTCAGAGCAATCCCCGTCTCAGAGCAATCCAGCATCTCTGCAAGCCTCCATACACACGTCTTGGTCTGGAGGAGCAATATGGGAGCTCCCCCTGCTGCCTTGTCCGCCCTGCACATGGGGTGCGCTGGCTGCAGCCCCCTCCCCAGCGCCCGGGCTTGCTCCGGCCTCCCTCTGCCACAGGCTGGAAACACCAGGCTGGGATTGCTAAAAGCAATCTCAAGGGGTGGCTCTGCAAACAGCAGCTCCCTAAAAAAAAAGGAGCTGACTAGGAGAGTGCTTCATAGCATTTCACAGAAGCGGATATGGTGTCCCAAGTTGTAGGACTGGTGATTCTTTTCTTCCTGTTAGGTGATTAAGTAGAGGTGATTAAACTATAATTAAGCAACACAGGATGTGATTGATTGCCCTGCAGGAGTCATCGCCTCCCTTAAAACCCAGGTTCATTCACCGCAGGAGGCTGACATGTGCTTCGTTTCACCTCTCCGTCCCTCGGACCATAGGGATGCTCACAGGGGAGGTGCTCCTCAGCCCAGGGTGGTCATTTGAGCACTGCTGTGGCTATGGAGCGGTGGGTACACAGGCGCTGGGATTCACCAACTGCAGTGCTGAGGACACAACTGTGCTTTCAGAAATGTTAATCGCTGCTTATTGCAGTCTTTTCCATCACACTGCAGCTGCAGATGCTGATGCGAAGCGCATCTTTACTGTCACATCCTGAATAGCTGTGGTCTCTAGAGCTGCATAGCTTTGTTCAGTCCTAGTGAAGAACTTTACACAGTTTAAAGCTCTTCCAGGAAAAAAAAAAAAAATCTGCCATGGGCACGTTTCTCTAAAGCATAAAATCTCTCTTCCTGAGCTGCTCTGCCGATCTCCCGTACGCCACCAGGTCCGTCTGTCTGTTCTGCTGAAGAAATCCTGCTGACACCGGGTGCAGACCTGCACTGTCTCCTTCTGCGGGGATGCAGCGTGAGGGAGCACCTTGCAGTTGCTGTGAGGGACCAGCCAACCTTGAAGTACACCCTTGCGGCATCGGAGCCTGAACCCCGTCCTCCCCGCTGTGTTTCAGGGAAGGTCAGCAGAGCCCGCAGGCACCAGCCAAACCACATGCTTGGTTGTACTCCACTGCTGGGATGCTGAAACACATTCCCCTGGGGGAACCATCTGTGGGTGCAAGAAGACGTGCTCTAGCATGCAGCCTGGGCAGCCCCAGGCAGAGCTTGGCATGCTGTAGGGAGCCCTGCCACGAGGCGTGCAGGATTTATCTCCTCTCACTGGCACATCTCTCCCTCTGAGCTCATGCCCAGACTCCCGCTGCAGCCGGTGGAGAAAATGAGGCAATTCTCAGCTGATGGGCAGATGAGCATCTCAAACAGATCATTAGTCAGAGCTGAAGCTGGGGGAGGTGGTGCGTTCGTTCCTCTTGGAAATACCAAAATACCAGGCTCGCTTCTCACCCGGGGCGGTTGAGTGCAGCTGCCCCAGAGCCAACCCCACAGCCCGGCTCCACGCCGAGGATGAATAGGGAAGCCCCACGGAGGCTGCAGCAGCAGCTGTGTATCTATGGAGGTAGGCATTTGCTTTGCATGGAGTTCATAAGCTGTCATTTGGAAGCTGTCTTAACTAAAGAAAGAGCAAGGAACTGCCCTACTGCTTTGAATAATTACATGGGTTAATAATTTTGAGCTAAACAAGGCTCGTTGTTCACCAGGTTTTCAAAGATCTGGAATTCGGTGTATGAGTCTTGGCTAGTTCTGCCTTTTTCTCTTCCCTTGAGTCTTGTCTCCCTTCACGTTGCCCTGACCCTGTCCCTGTGCCCACGCAGCACCGAAGCCCGTTTGCTCCCTGTCTCGCAAAAACCCGCAGTTCCGAGCAACGCTGCTCTCCTTGTCCCACTGCAGGTGGTGCGAGACCAGATTTCTCACTGCACGGTCAAGCTGCGCCAGACCACGGGCCTGATGGAGTACTGCCTGGAGGTCATCAAGGAGAACGACCCCAGCGGCTTCCTGCAGGTTGGTGTGGAGGTGCTCACGTCTGGGCTACGAGGGGAGCGGGAAAGGCATTGCACAGAGGGGGGCTCTGGGGTAATGCAGCAGAGTTGGGGGAGTTACACCAAGGATGATGTCCTCAGCTTTTCCAGCCATAAAATCAAGGGCCAACCTCTCATCGCCTCCAAGTCACAGCAGGACAGAAGCAGAACCAGGCCAGGGACATTTCTTACTCTGACCGGAGGAATAGAGGGTTGCAGCAGACGGTGGTGTATCTCTGGAGCAGTGATCATAACGTGCTGTCCCGTGGTTCTCCAGCAAGAGGTGGACGTACAGCACTTGAGAACTGCATCCCACCGTTCATTCCTGGGCTGGTCCCTTTGGTACTATACCCTGCCTTTAAAATAGTCCCCAAAGCTCCTGGGGTCCCTCTGCCAATCTCAGCCTGCAGCAAAGGGTGATGCTAGAAACCACGTGTGATGTCCCAGCCTTTGACAGTCGGGGACAGAAGTGGCAGCCTGGGAGGCGCAGGGAAGGGACAAGGCACAGCACGCAGCCCAGGTGACCCACGGTAGCTGAGGCTGCTCCTTGCCACCAGATCTCCGACGCTCTCATCAGGAGAGTGCACTTAACCGAGGACCAGTGGGGAAAGGGGACGCTCACACCCCGGATGACCACAGACTTCGACCTGAACCTTGACAACGCCCCTCTGCTGCAGTCCATCCACCAGCTCGACTTCGTGCAGATGAAAGGTAAGAATATTTCCAGTGCCTTTCAAAAGCCTGTCTCTGATCATGCTGAGTGCTTTCATGCGACTCATCACAGGGAAGGGGCAGCAGAGGACAGTTTCTCATCTTCTCCCAGCGAGACTGAGCACCCCAGACCCAGAGTTAAGCCCGTTCCTGTGTAGTTTGCACCCCTGGGCCAGCCACCTGCCTCCCTGTCTCTGATCCCTGGGCAGCTGTGTGCCAGATCAAGGTGCCGGGACCTTGGTTTCGCCTGGCAGTGCTTTAGAAAGTGCTCTGCAGTGCCAGGAGAGCCAGGTTGGTCCCTGCTCGGCTGGTGGAGGTTGGGACCAGGGTCTTGGGAGCAGCACAAGGCACTTCCCAAACCTCTGCTCACACACGCTCGCTTTCGCAGTGCTGAACAGCATCTGGCACGGGCCAGCTAGCGAGCTGCCTGCTGTGGGCAGCCACCTTGTCCCTCCAAACACAAAGGCACAAAGAGCCACGCCACTTAGCTCGGGGTCTTTCCTCCCTCCCTTCTCCTCCCTGTTGTTTTAGACCTTCATTTCAATTTTAATTTCCTCCTCATTCTCCGTTCCCTCTGTGCTCACTCTCCCGTACCACAGAGAGCCACTGCATTTGCATCACTTTGCAGGAAGCAGAGAGCCGCTGCAACCTGTGAGCAATTTGCAACTTGGCAAGCCCTGGGAAGCTGACAGAAGATGCAAACGGGCTGTGACGCGGGGGACTCGGGAGGACATTGAACGTAGGCCTGTGCCTTCGGCTGGTGCAAATGAGCTGCCTGGGGGAAAGGCCACCAGCTGCAGGTCTGGCGTGGCTCTTCATTGCCGTCACGGCTGGATTTCCTGACTCGGGAGCCATTTGCACACACTGGCAGTTCTCAGTGGTCGGACACAGGAAGGCTGTTGACCACGCGCTTCCTCTGTAACGATAACGAGTGTCTTCAGATAATGGCCCTGCTGGTATTTGCTGCAGTGAGAGTGGTGCGTTGGGCAAGGCTGCTGGGAGCGCTTGTCGTTGCTCATCGTTAGCCAGGCCGTTAATTTGAAGTGTCAGTAACATTTTTTGATAGTGAGGGGAGCCAAACCCAGCGAGGGCTGGACTACTGTTTCGCTTAGCGTGTTCCTGCCCTCCCTTCTTTCAATTTAGCCCGGAGGGTTATTTTTAATTAATAAGAGCAAATCTGCTGCTAGTTCAGCTGCCTGCCCTCCTCTGTGGAGGCAGGGCAGAGCTGACAGAGGCTGTCCTCTCGTCTCACCCTCACAGTGGAAATAAGTTGATGTTTTATAGGCTTTGCAGAAGGTTGGGTTTGGATCCCAAACATGTGTCGCAGCACCGGGGGAGGCAGGGCAACACCAGAGGTCTCGATAAAGAGCAGAGGTAAGCAATAGGTACATCCATTGCCAGCGCGTGCTGGGCACGAGCAGCGTCCCTTCTGCTGTATTAGCTGTAACACGAGGTCTTTCTCCACTCGATTTCTCCAGGCCCTCAGCCTGGTGGTTTCTGTTGAGGATCTGACCCAGGAGGTGGAGGAGTCGCAGAGGGACGTAGTGAATAGTGAACCTTTGCCAGCGAGTCCATCTTTTCTCTCCCAGGCATCCGTGGCTCCTCCACATCTTGTCTGGATTCTCCATGTCTTTTTTTCGCTGGCTCTTGTCAGACTCTGGGCGGTGAGGATGAGGATGGAGGACGAGCAGCTTTGTTGAGAGGAGATTTGGGAGGGCTCTCCCTGGCCAGGGGATGGGACGTGTCAGTGGACATCCTCTTTCCCTGTTGTGCTGTCACCCCTCCGTGCTTTGCAGAGCAGAAGCAGGCTGCATTATACACCTGGAGATGCCCAAATACAGCAGCTGGAGCAGAAAAAGCCCTGACAGTCCTTTCTGTCCCCTGTGTAGCTGATGGGAGGCTGTAGGGTGCACAGCCTCCCAGCTTCGGTTCCAGCGGCGAGCAGAGGATGAGGACAGGGACTGTCTGGTGCCTGTTTGGAGACCTCTCTGAAATGTGCTTGTGCCTCTTGTGCCTCCCCGGGAGGTGTTCGGCAGCAAGAGCTGTTTGCTGGCTGAGCTGGCAGAGGGGGCAGCCCTGTGGGCCCCACGGGAACCCCTGGCGTGGGTGCCCTGCTTGGGACAGCGTGAAAGGACCCTGAGCCTTTTTTGGCAGGTCAAGGGCTATCATTCCCTAGCACTAAAACAGCATTGTTGAGAGACACTCGTCTTGTCACCAAGTCTCACGGTTCGTGCAGTCGCCTCCCCTTTCAGGACAGACTCTACCATGGCAAAAAGATCAGGCGCTCCCTATTCTGCAGGGCCCGAGGTTTGTCTCTGCTGCTCCGGCATCTCTTGTTTTGTTGCAGTGAATTTGTGTGGTGGAAAAGCGGAGCAGCGCTTGCCGCTGGGTTGTGGATTAGGCCAGGCCCACGGCTGCAGCCAGCTCTGCAGAGCGTGTCTGGGAGGGTGTCCCAGGTTTGGGACCGGCTGCTGTGAGGAGTCCAGGCAGTTCTATACCAGGTATATTGTTGTGCTGCCGTATTTCACCGAAATTCATTAGAAAGCAGGAAGAAAGCAGAGAAGCTCTGGGGAAATCTCAGCATCACCGGGCTGTGGGGTGGAGGAATTCGGTGGAGCTTGTTTGGAGAACGGTCCTTTCTGCTTCCTCCCCACCTCACACCCGTGAGATCGCAGTTACCTCCCTTGTGCCGTGCTGGCTTCCAAGGCAATAAATGCATCCTCCATGCTCCAGCTGAAACGTGCATGCCGCGGCTATCCCCGGCTCCTCCTCTGTGGTGCTAGCAGCCAGGGTTACACTAATTTGCGTTTAGTTTCCTCCCCAGTGCCGGCCCCTCCGATCCTGCAGCTAGAGGAGTGTTGCACTCACAACAACAGTGCCACCTTGTCCTGGAAGCAGCCCCCCTTGTCAACGGTGCAGGTGGAAGGCTACATCCTGGAGCTCGATGACGGCAACGGCGGCCAATTCAGGGTAGGTGCTCGGAGCACGAAGCCAGTCCCAGCAGCAAGGTGTTGCTCCTGGTTCCAGTATTGCCCTGCCATGAGAGTTGCAGGCTGGCCAGGGAAGTGGTTGAGTCCCCATCCCTGGAGGGATTTAAAAGACGAGTAGATGAGGCACTTAGGGACATGGTTTAGTGGGCATGGTGGTGTTGGGTCGACGGTTGGACTTGATGATCTTAGAGGTCTTTTCCAACCTCAATGATTCTATGATTCTATGAGTTTCCCAGACTTTTTGGAAGTCCCCTCCTTCCCTGGAAACATGAGACTCGCTGCTGGGGTGCCCAGGGAAGCCAACGGTGCAGACAAGCTGCGGGCTCTTTTGGGGTGCAAAGTTATTTGGGGGGGTGGAAATACCTTTCCGGTGACCAATATGACTTGCAAACGCAAAGAACGCATTTGAAGCTCTGTCTTTTTAGGTTGCTAAATATTTCATGCAAGGTATGCTAATTGCCATGAAAGGCTCATGGTTTGCCAGCTCCCAGCAAGCAGAGGTGTTTAAGGCCTGAGGCCTTTTAAATTGCTGTAATTACACAATTAAAATATGATTTTTCTCTGATCCAAAATGCTGATAATTATCCTGGCATGTTCACATCCACCGAGAGCAGGCGCAGGGACCAGCCCATCGCGTTTTCTGAATTCATCCACAAGAAACTCAGGCAGGCAGGAGCCAGAGCAGAGTCGAGGCAGAAGAGGGGTGATGTGGGTGGGATCTGGAGAGAGAAGGGAGCAGGAGGCTGGGTGTGGGGGGACCAAGGCTCAGCACAGCCACTCCAGGAAGGTGAGGACAATTCCCCAGCACGCCAGTCTTCTCTCCTGCCACCAGCAGTGGGAGGGAGCTTGGATGTGCGTGGTGTTCCTGCCGCTGGGGTTATAGAGGGCTGCTCCAGCCGATGGGGGACAGCTGGTGCCACGAAGGGGAACGTCGTGGGCTTCTCAAATCACTGAGTCATTGGCCTGCCTGAAAGCAGCGATTTGACCAACCGTGTCAGGCAGCGATTTGCCCAGTGAGCTGGGAGTGCCGACTGTCGTACAGGTGACAGTCCCTGCCGAGAGCAGGGCAGTGTGTAGCCCAGCCTGTTAGCTACCTCCCACACAAACAGGCAGGAGAGATTGGGACGGTGTGCTGAGGCAAGAGGACTCTGCCTTTGGGCATCAAGCCACAAAGGGACTCCTTGCAGTGAGCCTGGGGTGGTGAAGTGGGAGCTGTGCTCTCTCATGGGGTGCCGGCTGCAGGGGAGCTCTGTGGGTGCTGGAGCCCAGGCAGATCAGGGCCACCTTAGCGTCCCATCACTGATCTCACTCGGTTCATTAGAATCATAGAAATCATTGAGGTTGGAAAAGACCTCTAAGATCATCGAGTCCAACCGTCGACCCAACACCACCA